GAATACTTGTATTTTGTCTCAAATTTCTCTACCGAATAACAAATACCAACGAAAAGCTTCAGAATACTTGTATTTTGTCTCAAATTTCTCTACCGAATAACAAATACCAACGAAAAGCTTCAGAATACTTGTATTTTGTCTCAAATTTGTCTACCGAATAACAAATACCAACGAAAAGCTTCAGGATACTTGTATTTTGTCTCAAATTTGTCTACCGAATAACAAATACCAACGAAAAGCTTCAGAATACTTGTATTTTGTCTCAAATTTGTCTGCCGAATAACAAATACCAACGAAAAGCTTCAGGATACTTGTATTTTGTCTCAAATTTCTCTACCGAATAACAAATACCAACGAAAAGTTTCAGAATACTTAAATTTGAGACAAAATACATATCCAGATAACAGATTAGTAAGATAGGATTTCCCTTCAATGAATCCATGTGGACATTCTTTGATGACACTGTATTTCACTAAATGATTTTGAAAACCTTTTTTTGTTTTGTTTTTCGATCAGAGTTCTAAGATTTTTTTCACTACAGTACTTACACTAACTGGTCTATAATTTCTAGGATAACTCTTACAATTTTAATAATAGGAGTACTATTAGCAACTCCTCAGGTACTTTGGCAATGTCTATTGAACTACCAAAGGTGAAAGAGAGATTGCACAATTAATCTTTGACCTCCTCTAAAAACTCTGAACACATTGTTTGGTTTTGGTACTTTTGTCTATTTTTAAGTTCTGTCTTTCTACTTTCCACCAAGAAATTAATATTTGCATGATTTAGGCAGCACTTGGGTCAATCTCATTATTTTCCATAGAATACTTAGGGTCAGGACTGCTGCTAACATTGTTTCTTGTAAAACACAAGACCAGAAGTGAAGTTCTTAATCTTTAACATAAGCCTTGTAAGCATGGTTTAATCTTCACTTTAAAGTTTTGGTTACTTTTAACATTCTGTTATTTTGTATGACATTATCATCCAGCTGTGTCTTTTGATTTCTTAATTTATATTTTACACAAATCTTTAGCTTTCCTATAGTTCTGGAAATCTTCCTTTCTGTCAATTTAAACTTCTCAAACTTATGGTATGTATTTTAGGTTTTCTAGTTTATATGTTTAGTTTTTATTGGTTTTTTTTTCTCTCTCTCTCTTTTTAAAAACATTTTTATCTTGAATTAAAAGTAATATATTTCTAAAGAATTTCAAACTTTTGGCTCATGTCACCATCTAACTCCTTATCTCAATTCCTTAGTGATAAATCTTATTTCATGGGCTCAAATTGGCTTTTGAAACAAAATATCAAATCTTTAGTTGTTAACGATTCTTAAATGGAATCTGTTGATTGGTTATTGGACCATTTGGTATAGAAAACCATTGTGGATTATTACAAGAAACCCTTCTTTTTCATAACTGGGTCTAGTGTGGTTAGGGCACTTGTGGGTCACGGGTTCAAATCTTTGTTCTACCAAACATGCTTGCCCTTTCAGCCATTGGAGTGTTGTAATGTGATGGTTAGTCCCACTTAGAGTAGCCTAAGAGTTGGTGATGATGACTAGCTGCCTTCCCTCTAGTCTTTCACTGCTAAATTAGAGATGGCTAGTGCAGATAGCCCTTGTGTAGTTTTCTGTGAAAATCAAAACTAATCTTCATAACTTGACTCAGTAAATTCCAATAATTGTTTCTAAAAATTTAAGTTTCCAAATATTATTGCACCAATATCTTGTTTAGTTGCAACCCTGATCTCATACAGTTTCTCATGAACATTTTCTGTCTGATTAAGTTGCTGATTAAACACTTTCTGTCCTGGCAAACCATAAACATTCAGCCTCTTGACTACCATTTTTTGTTTTCATGCCTCGTATATGTGAACAAACTCACTTTTTTATTTTTACAAAGAGCACTAACAGGATAATTCTCAATGTCCAAAATACTGATAACATCCTGTCTTCTTGTTCTATGGATGGAGTGACATGAATTGCATGATCATGCCTATATAACATGGAAAAATAAACTGAGGAGAATTGTAAATAGCATCATTATATGATGTGTATGTGCTGCTTGAATATTGCTGTAAATATAGCAAAATAAAGTGCATGTATTTGTGAGTATTTCCAATTTATAAATGATAAGTTTGGTGTCTGATACATAGCCTGTGGTTAGGGTAAGTAATTTTATCGTGCGAACCTGTGATCGGTGTCCTGCTTATCGTGCGAACCCCGTGATTGGTGTCTTGCTTATCGTGCGAACCCTGTGATCGGTGTCCTGCTTATCGTGCGAAACCTGTGATCGGTGTCCTGCTTATCGTGCGAAACCTGTGATCGGTGTCCTGCTTATCGTGCGAATCCTGTGATCGGTGTCCTGCTTATCGTGCGAACCCTGTGATCGGTGTCCTGCTTATCGTGCGAACCCTGCGATCAGTGTCCTGCTTATCGTGCGAACCCTGCGATCAGTGTCCTGCTTATCGTGCAAACCCTGCGATTGGTGTCCTGCTTATTGTGCAAACCCTATAATGGATATCAGTCATACAGATTTTATTTGTTCTTTGTTTCATCAAATTTTCCTAAAGCAGGCATGGACTATGTCCAAGTTTTATATAATCCCAAACTAATGCAGTGGTGGCATTGTAAAATGAAACAACAAATTATACTCCTTTTTCCTGAAGAACTTGTGATGAATTTTGAAATTTCTGTGTAATTGACATTAAGGAAATTTTGTATTTTATTTTTTTATAAAGGGTGAAGTGTCTGGATCAAGTCAGTATTCACTAAATGACTTTGACCTGTTGCGTGTTATCGGACGAGGCTCATATGCTAAAGTCTTAATGGTGGAACTCAAGAAGACAAAGCGAATATATGCCATGAAGGTGATCAAAAAGGAACTGGTTACAGATGATGAAGTAAGTATTTAATGTTTTCTTTTTATTAACTTATCAGAGACTAAAGAAATGTCTATGAAAAGTTGTAGATTTCCTAGGTTCCATGGAGAAATACACTTATTTCTGGAAACTATACTAAGGTTAATAATAAAAGTTTGATTCGTTTTGTAAAGTCTTATTTCTTACTATACTCATGGTATTTAAAGTAATAATATTAGTGCTGGATAATAAGTGTAGAACCTTACATCAGACTTCCACTAATAAATCAAACAAAGTAATTTTTTTTAATAGTGATACGGTTATTCTGTATTTCCTTTATTGAATTGTTTATAATGAACCACTTTTGTTGCCCCTCAGCGGCACAGCAGTATGTCTGCGGACTTACAACGCTAGAAACCGGGTTTCGATACCCGTGGTGGGCAGAGCACAGATAGCCCATTGTGTAGCATTGTGCTTAACTTCAAACAAACAAAACCAATTTTGTTTTGTAGTGGTCTTTACTAAGAACAATAAAAGAAAAATCATATCAATAGTGAATTTAAAAATTAATTTTAATTTTTCCACTTTAGATTTTTTGTAATTTCACTATTTTTTATTTTTATGAAATAATAGAGATAAAGTTACATGTTCTATTGAAACGTATGTACACACAAGGAAGCACAGGCCTACTAACTTTAAAATAAAAGATAATCCAGCTTTTAATGATGATGGTGATAGTTAGTGGTTTATTCTGAGAATCCACTAATTTCTGTTATAGGATATCGACTGGGTGCAGACAGAAAAGCATGTTTTTGAAACTGCCTCTAATTATCCATTCTTAGTGGGTCTACATTCTTGTTTTCAAACCCCTAGCAGGTAAGTCCTAAGCTTCATAGAACTACTAGCAGTAAAGTTGCGGCATTATAATATTAATCAAATGAATAGTATCCTATACAGTTACATAAGTTTCATTGTTAATTAGTTACCAATTGATATTAAATGTTTTGGCTGCTATTTTGCTGCTGTCTTCAGGAAAATCCTCAGAAGGACTGTTCTTGGTTGACTATGTGGAGCATACGTATTGAAGTGAAAAAAAAGTTCAGTGTTTTCTTAAAATCTTGAACAGTAGTAGTTCTTGTGTTATATAGATATTCTTAAGTGGCAAAGAGTGTTAGAAGTTAAGCAGTATACAGTGTTGTCTGGTGGTGAGATGTAATTAAGTTTAGCTATAACTTAACAAAGAATCTTATCCTCCCCCCCCTCCCCCCTTGTGTAATGGACAATAAATTTCGTATATATCTACTTGTAAAATCAACATGTACTTTCAAGTACATGTAATTCTTAAAATTTATGTTGGTTTTCACTGACATATACCTAGTTTTTAATGATTATATGTTTAAATGAGACTATTAGGAATAACTTTTATGTTATAAAATGAACTTACTATTCCAAAAATTGTTTAATTTCGATGTCTAAGTTCAAGAGATGTCCAGTTCAATTTACACTTTGATCAACGTGTGTTATTGGGTTATACTAGTTTTGGAGTATTCCACTCCTCATTGATAACCCCGAACACAAGTTAACCAAAGAGAGATAAACCGTATCTATATCATAGTGAAAAGTATCAAACGTGTATATATCTACTGTTTGTGCGGCTATACAATGTGAAGAACTGAATATTGGCCAATGGCACTTTTTCTTCACTTCACCTATCCAGTGTATAGGTTTTCCTCATAGTGAATACAAAGCACGTTTTCACCAACAGTATGTTTGGAACTTTTATATTGTATCTTGTTTTGTCATCTTTTCCATTTAAAACTTATTTAACTGCATTTTGCACCTAAAGATCTAATATTACATTGTTTTTCTTAAGAACATCACTTGTGAAATAAAACATATTTTAATTTTACATATCTATGTGTAGTTAGGTATACTATGAAGACGTGTACAAAAAATCTTACCATTTTTAAGTCTAAAAATTATGATTTTCTGTTTTATTTTGAAGGCTGTTTTTTGTTATTGAGTTTGTTCGAGGAGGAGACCTCATGTTCCACATGCAGCGACAGCGAAGATTACCTGAAGAACATGCTCGATTTTATGCTGCAGAAATTTGTTTAGCACTGAACTTCCTTCATGAAAGAGGTGAGGGGAGAAGCGTAGTAAATATTTAACAAATTTTAAGACTGATATAATAAAAACACAAAGCCTAAAAATAGTCAGTTTTTATAATAATAAAGTATTGATTACTAAAAAGTGTCATCTTATGATGAGTAAATAATTTTGACAATTTTACTTTGATGTCGCATGTAAATGTTGCAGTGAATGTTTTCTAGATGGGTGTTATGCATAACAAATCTTATTGCTCTTCAATAAAAAATTTAGTAACAAAAACAATTTTACTCGATTATGGAATTTTTTTATGTAACAGCCCTTTCTGACACAAAATATCCATACACTCAGATCATAAAATATGTTCACATTGAGGGATTTATAATTTCCAAGATGGAGATATCCCTTATGCTTAATGGCATTGGAAAACCAAGGAATATTAATTAATTTGAGGCATTAGGACCAATAGAAAGAACCTGCAAAAAGTCATTCTTCAGCCTTGGTAAGAAAAGTGCAGCATCTTTTAACAGGTGAGAATCTACAAACACTAAAGATCAGTTGCAAATGCTTCTTGCATGTCCCAGGCTACAGTACACAACACAGTGAAGAAAAATCTCCATCTGAAAAAAAGTGACACAACAGGTACATAAGTTGTTTCCACAACATCTGTTCAGCTGTTACATACCTCAAGTAGTTGGAGAATGAAACAGGTATTTGCTGTTCCATACAAAGGCATATTGGTCAAGTTGCCAGATGCAATACCTATGGATTTCTGTGCAATTGTAGTGTTGAAATGGGCACTGGAAAATTATTATCATTATACTCCAGATGGCTTATTGATAGCATGGAGGGGGTAATGTCATTCTTTTGACATGACAGCCTTACGAAGGAACTTTTTGCAATAGAAACTATGCTGCTCGGCTATTACTTTGCTTCACAGAGCGGTTAGAGGTTTTGGTAGAATGTCAAGCAAAATGCTTTTGGTTTCATCTAATTTGGCAGCTGCAGTGTTTAGGATGATGAAAGATAATAAAAGGAATATTCTTTAAATCACATAAACCACTTCATTTGGAAGTTTTCTCACAAAGTTTATACTAGTTTTAACTCTTATGGTGGATGATTTAACCACTTAATGGTACTAAATATTGTACATTACTTCATGAGAGAAGATAATCAAAAGTTTTATTATTATTTTCAGAAGGCATGGTATGAATATAATACTATGATTTTTTCATCTAGATCTGATCTGTTTCTCTACATTATTTTCTATTTCTACATCATAAGTGAAAAGTTAGATACAGACCATCTGATTTAATTGTAGGGGGTGAAGCAATATGTCGGTAGGCTATCATCCTGGCACAGATGTAAGGAAAAATTACATTATTGGCTGTTGACCATTTTAGTTTTTGTAACCAGTAGTGTAAAACAATGTTTTTTCTTGTTGCATAGAATGCTGCGATTCTCACTGCTCGATTTTTCTTATGACAGCCAAAGTGACCATCTTTATACAACTGTCACCATTGCCACATACCATTCTACAAAAGCCATCAGTTTTAATGTTGTCAAGTGTCCTGAATACTGGTTTTTGTTATATTAAACATGTTAAAACAGTAATGTGTTTGTGTTAGTTTCTTAACATTAGAAGCATTTGGATGTTAATTTAAAGCAATCCTTCAATAACTAGATTATTTTTACAAATGTATGAAGTTTTATTTTTGTATACATATTTTACACCATAATTCAAAGTGAAACAGATATGAATAATACTAGACTTCTGATGTGATATGTCTTTACCATTTTTTTTGTTGTGTTTTAAAGCCAAAAGCTGTATCTTGGTCTCTGAAGTGACAAAGTTGTCAGGCTGAATTTTTAAAAATAAATTTAAACATTTTATGCTGACTTTGTGTTGAAGTTAATAATTATGTTTACATGTTACAATTCAGAAGTTAATACCTGATTATGTGTTTTTATTTTGTTAAGTGATTCTAGAAGCACTAATGCAAAGTTTATTTAATATTTTTTAGGATTTATTATTTATTTATTCATTGTCTGTATTAATTGCACCAAGTAAATACTATTTGTCAATAGATTTTAATTTGTTTCAGTAGTTTAGAGTACCTTATCTGCACTTATACTAAATATTAGTATCAGCTCATATGGTTGGTGATCATCAGTAATCAGTATTGACCAAGAAAATCTTAATGATGGACCCCTATTCAATTGTTTTGTTTTTATAAACCATTAGAGCCCAGCCTAGTGGTTAGCATACTGGACTAAATCTATTGGTCCATGGTTAACATCCCCCTAGTAGCAAAATTGTGGTCAACATTTTGGAGCTGTGGGTTCATTATAAGAATAGCCTAATATTAGCAGTGGATGCTTTTGACTAGCTGCTTTCCCTCTAGCTCACTATTTCCCAAACTTTAACGTCCCACAAACCCCTTTCATGAAAATGCCAAATCTCGCAAACCCCCTCCTAAAAATAAATATTTTCCAGAAATTTTCTCTTTTTCCTGAATGTCAACTATAGAAACGGTGATCTTGGAGATATAAAATTTCTTTTTTTTTTTATGACACTTTTATTACACGCTATTTATTATTTACATTATTATTCATCATTATATTATTAATTTTATTACATTATGAAAACAGCAAAACTTTTCCAAGATTTTACTTTCATAACTCGTATCACTTTGATTAAGCCTAAACTTATTTTTTATCTTAATTTTAAAAACAGCAAAAAAATACTCCCTCCTCATCTTTCCATTCCTCATGAAGAGTTGAAATTATAATCTACTAAAACATTTCATAAACCTCCAAAGAATTCACGAACCACTGTGGAACCATTACTCTAGTTTATCAAGTCAAAATTAGGGATTGATAATGCAAATATTTCTTAGATGCATTTGAGTGGGCATCAGGAACTGTTTTGCAGAAATTTTTTTATTGTTTTCAGGAATTATATATCGTGACCTGAAGCTTGACAATGTTTTGTTGGACCATGAAGGACACATCAAGTTAACAGACTATGGAATGTGTAAGGTAAGTGAATTTTAAAGAATCTTCAGAATTGAAAAGTACTTGTAGATATATGTGGCAAAAATACAAGTATTCTGAAGCTTTTCGTTGGTATTTGTTATTCGGTAGAGGACTTATCTACAACCATCCCAAAATCAGTTCCTTCAGTCACACTATTGGATGGGTTAACATTTATATTAAATATGAGATACAAGTACATTAACTTGCATTTTCTGTAATTAAAGATCTTCTGCTAACTATTTGTCCAACTTACTAATTGATCCAAGTTATTTTGTAGTACCTTATCATACAGCTAGAAAATTCAGGAGTTTATTGTCATCACCAAATGTTTCTAATTGTATCCCTATCAATCCCATTAATGTAAGTAAGAAAGAGCAAAGTCTCAAGCGTTGACCCCTTAGGTACTCCACTAGTAGTAACTTATGAGTAGACTCTATTAATAACTCTATTCCTTTCCACACCCATCCAATATTCAGTCTAGCTAACTGGTCTTTTCCCAATTCTAACCAGTATGGTTTTCTTAATGAATCTTCTATGTTGTGCCTTATCAGAAACCTTTTTATAAGTCTAAGTATACCAAGTCCGCACCCTTTTCATCATCCACACATACTTGAAAAAAAGATAACAGATTAGTAAGATAGGATTTCCCTTCAATTCCCCATGAGATGGCTTCCATCCCGGGAATCATCTGAGTATCTTTCCACTGAACCCTTTCCAATAATTCAATAAACTTTCTCAGATAAGGAGATCATAACTTTCACAATATTCAAGTGAAGCCTAACTAATAATTTGACTCATCAGTGTCTATAATTACATCCTAAAATTCTATTGGCTTTACTTCCAGCAACAGAGCCCTACCTTGATGGCTTGAGTATCACTGTTAACCTGACAGTCAAGGAATCCCGCAGAAATATTTGTAAACCAAACTGCTTTTAGTATTAAAGCTTTTTCCAACTATTTCTCACTGAACTAACTATAAGTCAACATTACTGCAAAACTAGATTTATTATAACAGAATAAATTTGACATTCCTTATCAACAGGAATATGACAAAACTAACACCATTTGATACACAGCCAGTGTTAAATAGAAACAATGTAAATTCTGTGGTATCAGTTTTTATTATGCTCCCACTGTGAAGCAAAGCCAGGTATATTGGATTATTCCTGTCCATCTTGATCTTGTGGACAGTATCTCTAGATTAGATTGATGGTACTTGGCATTAAACTTGTACAACAGGTAGTACGTGCAAAGTGATAGACCTAATTAACTTTTGATGGTTGAAGATGGGGCATAGATGTTTCATAAATAAAATTTTCACTTGTTTATTTCTCATAAATTTACTTTGATCAGAAAGCTGTAAGCTAATGGCTAGCTTTTGAAATTATTTCAAAAGCTTAAAAGTTTTGAATTGATTCCAGTTAGTTTAATCTTACTTTAGGCCAGGCTTAAAAATATTTCTGTTTGCTGTAACCTGACCAACCGTCTGAAATTGGGGTCGACTGATATATTTTTTTGACATTATGACCTGGAAAATATTTATTTTTACCAGTTTCTGCCAATATACCAACTAATCTAACAAGATTTGTTGAATTTAAAATTTTTTATTGCCATATTATGGTTAGAATGTTTTTTCTCAGAAATTCATAGAGTTTGCGACAATATGGGAGGGCATCACCTGATTACCAATCAACAACTCAATGCTGATTGGCCAATGCATTGAGGTTTGACAGCATAGCTTATCTCATACCAAGGATCCTTCATGGTAAACTAATAAATTCATGACCTAGCAGGAAAGAATTTACTGTTGATGAGCATACACCAACAGCATGGCAAACACAAGTCTGTTCAGTGTATCCATCTCCCAAAAATATTCTTGTAGATTGAGGATTTGGATTAAATCCAAATTAATTTTGATTGGAAACTTATCCATGTGAAGGGAAGTACCTGTAGATTTACTTGGTGAATGAAAAACAAACTAAATTTGTTGGCAACAGTCAATTAACTTTGACAATCAAGATCATTATCAACCAGCAAGTGTGAATTGTGAAATAATTCAATAAAAACTTTCAATATGCTGACATCCTTTTAATTACTTGTACATCAGAAGTGTTAATGTTTAATTTTTGGTCTGAAATTTCTCTAATTCTCTTCGTAGAATAAGTGGTGATAGTAACTATATTGATGGTTTAACATGTTTTAGGTGATTGTGGAACTAGTGGTATTTCCAAAATTTCTTTTGCCAAGCAATTTAAAATTTGTGTAATTCTAATGTCTGTCATTCAAGAGAACTGTTTTTCAATTAATCTGATAGTTTCTTACATTTTGTTAAAATTAAATGTTTATGAAATACAAATTTCTGCTGAAACAGTTTAACTTTCTGTAGAGCTAGCGGATAGTCTACCAACAGTTAAAATGTTACTATAACACGTGGACAATATGGGATCCTTCAAGACTGGCTTTCCGAACCCACCCCTTATGAAAAAGTAGAAACTTAAGCCAATTCTTTCAGGAACTCGCCTTTTAAACTCTTGTAAGGTGCTGGCCTGTACTACTTCTGATGTAACTCCTGTTATAAAAATATAGCTGTCTTAATTGGAAGCTAGCTTGTCTTCTCCAAATCTTCAGCTTTCATCCTCCAGTCCTTCTGTCTTCTGAATACCACACAAAGAAACCTGAGGACATTATGCTTTAGTTCAACTTCAGTTAATCTTGTAAGCTTCAATAACATTGCCTCTTACCCTTTTTCTTGGTAACAAATGAGATCATAACCTAAAACACAGATCTATGTGAGAACGAGTAGAGGAGTGTTAATTGGTTTATAAATATTTCTGTGGGATTCCTTGACTGTCAGGTTAACAATGATAACACAGATCTATGTGAGAACGAGTAGAGGAGTGTTAATTGGTTTACAAATATTTCTGTGGGATTCCTTGACTGTCAGGTTAACAATGATAACACAGATCTATGTGAGAACGAGTAGAGGAGTGTTAATTGGTTTACAAATATTTCTGTGGGATTCCTTGACTGTCAGGTTAACAATGATAACAC